AACGTTTTTGAATAACGTTTACCACTAAGCGCAAACGTTGCAGCATAGTAATGAAAGGTCAAGGTTGACAAGGTTGTTAGACTCTAAGAATTTGACGTATCGCTTGAAGAGCATTGTGTTGAATTAGACTCTTTGGCCTAATTCGCGCTTAAGTTACTTCAGGAGCTATCATAGTGATAGCTTATTCTTTCATTCTTGTGGATAGTAGAATTAATTGTAAGTAGCTATGAAGCGAGAAACAGAGATGGCAAGAGGAGTATCGTCATCTTTCAACTAGATGCAGTAAAGTGTATGGAGAATAAAATTGACTTGTAGGTGCAGGGGATTAGCACTTTACTAGTTAAATTTACGACTTAGGCGCACTGATATCTCCATGACATCCTTTTTATGATCTAGTGAATATGACTTAGTCATGAGTCATTACTTAGTTGGGCCCAAACCTTAAAACTTGTCTTCGAGAACTCCACACATTAAGATGATTGGAAATAGTTTATGACTTGGTCTGAACCAGTGGCTTATTATACTTAATCACATTAATGAGATAATGAACATGGTTTGAGTAGGCCTTCTCGGGCCCACTCGCTTATGACATCATGCTCTCATATGATGTTAACTTTGTTCGCAATGGGTGCACACAGTAAGTAGGAAAGCCGTAGAAGGTCATTTGTATTGGCACATTTAGTCCACTATAATATTTGTGACTAGATATGTGTGATGGTATGATAGCTAAGCTCAATCTCGACACATTAATAGATTACGATACGCATCTGAGTCAAGACTATTTTATCTCCTATAAGTCAAAAGTTTTTGAGTGACATTGCACATATGAGTCGAGATCAATTAGATAAGAGCTTTTGTGCTTTTAGTTTTGACCAAGGTGACGAGTATCTATTTGAGTTATTTTTTAGAAAACTCTGTGAGAGAAAATGGATGCTTAAAAAATTGATTATTCCTAGTATCTCAACAACAAAAATGGTGTAGTAGAGATAAGGAATTAAATATTGTTAATGTTAGGTGGATAATGGCGTAAGATGTTTCCTAATTGGAAATTGCACTAGGGTTTTTGCTATATCCCTAACTAAGAGCCCTCTATATCAAATTTTACACTCCAATTTTGAGTAATAGGTTAGCGGGAGAGCCATTTATGGGCGATCTGTAACCGTTAATCAGCTCATCTTTATTTTACTTCTCATAAGATTGCGAAGTTAAGACCTAGGGTTCTATACGCATTATTGTATGCTGTCTTGTAAATACAAAGGGTCGTGTGGCGCATTATTGTATGCGGTCATGCAAACCCTCCAGGTCATATGCATATAGGTAGCAGCTTTGTGGTAGTGTAACTAAGTTACATAAAGTTTTTATTAGTAAAGGTGACGTGAATAGAGTTTTTGGAACTCTATAAGATAGAGAATTCTAAGCATAGCTTCTATGTAGCCTAGTTGAGAATGGAAAGAAATTTCCAATATCCTAAGGACAGTGGAAGCGATGTGCTACTAATGGATTACTCCATTAGAGAAGAATACTCTACTTCTTAGTTAGCTGGTAGCAAATGTGAAAATTTTCCACGTCATCACTTGGGTGATTGAGAGGGAAACATTCATGATTGCTCCGCAAGATGATAAAGAGCCTAGGATAATGCTTAAGGCTCTAGTCCCCTATTTTTAGAAAGTGGATCCATGTTGCGCAGTTTAAGACAAAGTCTTTGAGGATTAACCATTTTTTATAATTTGGTTGACTTTCCATTATGACACGAAACTGTTCTAAAGTTATGCGTAATTTGGATAGTCATTTTTGAGGCATAAGGCTCGCTAGATACCGAAAAGTCGCACCATTGAGGAAAGTGTAGACCATGAGAAGACTTCCTCCTGAGGAGTGAGGTTATTTTGACTTAGGCTATGATTGACATAAGTTCAGAACATTGATTTGTGAACATTGTGACCTAACTTTCTCGTTAGAGAATTGGATAAGTGGATCCGTAGGGATTTACCTTCTGCTTTTATGGTAAAAAGTTAGGAGCGCAAAAAGGTTGCTAGTTCCAATAAATCTTTTACAGCCTAAAGCAGTTATCCAAATAGTGGTTCTTAGATTTCGTCAAGCCATGATAGGCCAACGATGATCGATGAAGACCACTGAGGCATGATCAATGGTCTAAAAAAAAGTTTTTTTCCTTACTTAGTCATTATGAGCCAGGAATTTATAAGGTTGTCGCCACCTAGTGTGGACAGTCCTCTATTTTAGATATGATGGACATGGGTGATGCAATTTATATGCTCGGATGTACGATCCTTAGGGAATGGTTTGGGAGAATTCATGTTTTGTCTTCGATGACTTACATAAGGAATATCCTAGAATGATTCTAGATGCAAAATTGCAAACCCATTGACTTACCTATCGGTAAAAGCCAGAGCCTTAGCTATTGAGTGAATCCTCGGATTGTCTTAGGGAGAAACAGATGACCAATATTCCTTGATCTTTTCTTTGTTGTGGGAGCCTAAAGTACGCTATATGGGCGTATTCGGCATGATAAGTGTTATCTTTGGTAAATGGTCAACTGAGTTGTTTAGACATTAACCTTGCTCATTAGACTGTGGATAAAATGCTTTACCAGAAGCATATTAATTTCCTCCTTGTAATATTCAATGCGCTAGTTGGGCGCATTAAGAATGAACGCAAATTGGTCACCAAAATATCTTTAGAGAGGTTATTGCGCAAGATGTAGTGATCTTAAATTACTTTATGTGAGGCGCACATGGTGGATTTCGTTGTATATACTTATCGCAAGAGGTGCTGATAAGGCTTATGTTTGGAATCTATAATTGCGCAAGTTGTGGTCAATTTTTTTTTAAAAAATCGATCACTTATTTTGAGATGATGGGATGTTGACACTATTATGGTTTGTGTCATAATGATTAGCAGATGATGATGTCAGCAGGCAAGATTGGCTCACTCACACGAGCAATCGCCCTTGGCGCTTAGGAGTGAGCAAGGATGAGACTGGTGGTTTATTTTTATTTGGAGCCAAGAGAGGCTTAAATTATCCACTATGTATGTCGCCTTGGTTATAACCAAGATGAGGTCGTGTTAAGGACCAAACATGGATGTTAGTACCCACTTTTCGTGTTGTGCCTGTTATGATTAGCTAGATGCGAGATCTCATTTGGCGCCAAGAAGGCGAGCAAATAGAGAATTCGGGTTAGGCGCTAGAAAGCGACTAGACTAATATTTTTACGGTGTATCGAGTATGACGTCACTCTTTATGGAAGAGTTACTCCATCGTAGCATGTATTCATACTATATGTGCTTGGCGACCGAGTAATGAGGTGAGAGAATGGATCCCTGCTTCCTCACCGTGTGAGTCTTACGTGTCATTATTGATATGACTTTCATTTATGTACCATTTTGTGACTTTTGACTATGTCATAAGGTAAGGGGTTGATATTCTGCTATTTTGGTATGTTGCCTGCGGTCATGGATGATTCGGCCTTAAGGGACATCACTGGGAAAGCAGTCAATTCTAAACTAAATGGCATGAGTGCAAAGGGAAGATCATCTAGTGTTACACCACTGTTGTATATTCACTGCCGGCAACTCACATCGCCCTGTATGAGAGACGAATTGAGTGTGAATATATTGCAAAAATAAAATAAAAATTGAGAGGGTCAAACATGCTCTTTTTGAGGGATTAGAGATGTTTTTTGGATCGGTGTAATTCGATGGGTCTGGGGTATATGAGACACTATTTCTGTTCTTTTTGGGTTGATGTCTCTATGCTGGCTCATTTTGAGTTTCTAGTATAGAGCTCCCACATGCAGGTGTTCTCAGCAGTTGCACGGTGCAGTGGCTAGTATGAGATTGTTTATTTTTTGGGGAGATTGAGATAGAGACGTGGCAGTGTCATGCCAACTCATGTCTGAGTGGGAGATGTTAGAAATTGGGTGCCCATGTGGCATGACCCTTAGAACCTTTTGAACCTGAACCTTTTGAACATTATCCAAATGGGTTTTGAATTTGAATTCTAACCTATTTGGATAGCCACTCAGGATATATATCTATTATATCATGATATGGGTAGATGATATAGATATCAAATATTATCTCATATAACAAATATGGATAAATGAGATAAATAGAATATATATCTGATATATGAGATATGGGTGATTAAGTGAAAAATAACGTATGTTTGAGTTTTTTTTCCTTATACTGACTCTCTCCAAAAAACAACGATCAAAGCCATTTACACTGTGATTTGTGTGGGTGATATTCACTATTGTAATATCACCCTATTACTGGGTTGATTGATCAGATTTAGGAAACATATGATTTACCCATGAGATCTTTCAATTCAAACTCTAATTGAAAGGTATGCCCATAATATTTATTCCGTTGCGTTATACTTTGTTTACAGATATTGGTTGGGGCAACCTAGTTGAGATTATAGTTCTTTATTATAATGTTTATAGTACTATTCCTTCATTCTTTTGTCTTTTCGTTTATTAATGCTTGATTCATAATTAATAGTTTTGCTCATACAAAAACAAACCCAACTGCATCTTTGAAAAATGCAGCAAAACCATACCCTACCCATGTTACTTCCACATGCATATGATTATTTAAGAGTATATTCATGCTTCAGCGTCTCACATAGTACCTACGAAGAGAGTGAAAAAAGAAAAACTATATACTTTTATTTTGCTAACCACCATCGATCTCTCTCTATTGGATTCTTCTTCAAATTAAATCAGGATTGATTGCAAGTTGACCGGCATCCCTAGAAATAAAAATTCATGAAGTTGTACCAAGTGGCACATATTTTATCTGTATTACCTTTCACTAATTATAAATATATATGTATATATATATTTTATTATTTTTTAAATATTCAACATAAATGTAATAGATTTTACTATTAAAATTAATCACAATAATAAAAAGCACAATATGACATATAGTATACAAAAACTACTCCTTTTATAAACTCACTTGGCTAGAATAATGCTTCTCTGCATCATCTCTCTGTCTCTCTCTCACAATTGTATCCATGGAAAGCAGAAAACTACATGCGGCTATACTCTCCAGCCCCGGCATGGGTCACCTTGTCCCAGTCCTCGAGCTCGGCAAGCACCTCGCCACCAATCATGGCTTAGAAGTCACCATTCTCGTCGTCGCCACCCATTCCTCACCTGCAGAATCCCAACTTCTCGATCCCTCCACCGCCCCGAAACACCTCCATATTCTCCGACTCCCGCCAGTAGACATCTCCAGCGTAGTTAACCCCGACATCAAGGTTGTCTCACAGCTCGCCATCATAATGCGTGAGGCTCGACCAGCCATCCGGTCCGTTCTCTCCTCCATGAAGCAACGCCCGGCCATGTTCATAGTCGATCTCTTTGGAAATGAAGCTTTCGGGATTGCCGACGAGTTTCACATGTCCAAGTACCTATTCGTGACATCCACTGCATGGTTCACCGCTCTAACGTTGTACTGTCATGTGCTTGATAAGGAGGTTGAGGGTCAGTACGCTGATCACAAAGAACCACTGAGACTTCCGGGTTGCAAGCCGGTTCGACCGGAAGACGTCGTCGACCCAATGCTGGACCGGAATTGTCAACAGTATTATGAGTACCTGCGCGTAGGGTTCGAATATTCGATGTGTGATGGGATCTTGATAAACACTTGGGAAGATCTGGAGCGTATATCAATCAAAGCCCTACAAGCGGATGAAACCTTACGATCTGTTGTTAAGGTGCCGGTTTATCCTGTCGGTCCATTAACAAAGCCGCTTGAACCGGCTGGTCCAAAGAGTGAGTTGTTGGAGTGGCTCGACAAGCAACCCAGTGAGTCAGTGATATATGTCTCGTTCGGGAGTGGCGGGACGTTGTCGGCTGAACAAACCACTGAGCTGGCTTGGGGTTTGGAGCTGAGCCGGCAGAGATTTGTTTGGGTTCTACGCCCACCCAAAGAAGACCATGCAGACGCATCCTTTTTCACGTCAGGGAGCGGCCCAGATGGCACCCCAGAGTTCCTGCCTGATGGATTCTTGACCCGGACCCACAAGGCTGGGGTGGTGGTTCCACTTTGGGGTCCACAATTGGAGATACTGAGCCATCCATCAGTGGGGGGATTTTTATCACATTGTGGGTGGAACTCGACTTTGGAGAGTCTAAGCAATGGTGTGCCAATGATTGCATGGCCACTCTATGCCGAGCAAAGATTGAATGCAACCATGCTGGCGGAGGAGCTCGGAGTCGCCGTCAAGTCGAAGGTGTTGCCAACGAAGAAGGTGGTGAGGAGGGAAGAGATAGAGGAGATGGTGAGAACTGTAATGGAGTCCAAGCATGGGAGGAAGGAGATGAGGGAGAGAGCGAAGGAACTGCAAAAAAGTGGCAAGAATGCGCTGAGCAAAGGTGGGTCGTCTTACAAGTCAATATGCGACGTGATTAAAGAATGTGAGCTGAGACTTCGGTCTCACAAAATTTAAGAGCATTTCCATGTCCATCCTAATAAATAAATTTATTGTGTAATAAGTCTTATAATAATTAATCAGTGGGTTTGGTTTAAATTTTTTGAATTAAATTTTTTAAAAATTTAGTTTTTTATTTTTTGTGAATATTTTTAAAATTCTAAACAAATTTTTTTTTTTACATTTTTAGATGCACTTTACGTAGATGTATCTAAAAAGTAAAAAATTTGTGAAAAAATATTTTAAAAATTTAATAAATACATAAAATACAAAAAATGTACTGAATTTTCATATTTTTTTTATATTTTTGGTATTTAATGAATTTTTAAAAGGTTTTTTTTTACAATTTTTTTTACGTTTTAGGTATATTTATGTTAGTTATGTCTAAAAAATAAAAAAAATTACTTAAAATATTAAAAAAATTCAGTATAAACAAAAAAATAAGGAAAACAAGAAAATAGAATTTTCTGAAAAGTGTTTTTGAAAAAACACATCCAAGCAAGCTCAATAATATTTTTCATTAAATATTTTTTAAAAAGTTTTGAATTATTAATTTTTAATGACAGTTTAAAAAATTTATCACAAAAAATATCATTAATTATAAATTTTATTTATAGTTTAAAAAAATGTTACTAATTTTCAATTTTTAATGATAATTCGAAAAATTCGCCACAGAAAAACGTCACTAATTATAAGTGTTAACAACAATTTAAAATCGTGATAAAAAAGTCACTAATTGTTAAGTTTTAGCGACATATGTAAAAAATCGTCACAAAAAATTATTTTTAACGATAATTTTACTATGACTAACTTTCAATAGGACTTAATGAAAATTAAATCCAATTATTAGGACATATTAATAGTTTATCCTAAAATTTAAGAATTACAATTCTAGTAAGGTCTGGTCTTTTGTTTTGTAAATTATTGGAGAAATTTTAGTATACTTTAGAAAATAATTATAAATCAATGATAAGTTTTATAAATATTAATAATTAAATTCTTAAACATTTTCATCAATTTATAATAATTTTGTGAAAATACAGTCGGGTGTGATAATTTTTTAAAATTATTTATAAGCATTAAAGTGCTGTTTATTAACCTCGCCAGTAATTTTTAAGAAAAAAATATTTAAAATATTTAAAAATATATAAAACCATATCAAGTTATATTCAATTTACTCATAAATTCCATAGTTTAGCAGCAGACAATTCTTAAATAATTGACTTAATATTGGGCCGAGCTGGTTTGGGCCAGAGACAAGCCCTTGCTCGGTCAGACGTTGGGTGCACACTGTATCGAGGACTCAGTCCGGTCGAGTTGGAACAGCTTTGGATTCCCAGTCTACAGGGGATGTGTGCTCTACAGGGTTAGACATGATTAGTCCTTCCAGTATCAGGATGGACCGAACAAGAGCTCGGCCATGACTAAGGAGCTCGGTTGAGCCACGATATGGAATTATCAAGGAAACCAGACAAGTAGCACGGTCGTAAGGTGGCGACACGGCGCTGTGCCAAGCGTAGCTCGGTGGGGAGTACAACACGGCGCCACGGGACTACGAGAAAGAGATTCCGTTGTCCGTACGCGTCAATACCGTTTGGGGTTTCGTTAGGTGGTGTTTAGTTGTATTAGCGCTGACACATGAGGAAACGTGAGAGAAGAGCAGGTCCATGCGTCCCGAGGGGGATGGGCGCAAAAACGCCTGCATAAACTATATAAACAACGCTACACCTCCATACTCAGGGCTGGAACATCCTCTAATCAAAGCTCACTTACCACTTTGTCTCATCTCTTCTCTCTCTCTCTCTCTAAGTGTACTAACTTGATCGTCGGAGGGGTTTTCCGGTAGTACATCGTCGGGTAGCTCACTGTCTTTGTGTTCTCAGGTTAATCAGAGTGAAGCGCAGCTTGGACACGAGGAGTACAGATAATGTCGGATATTTGACTCCCATACACCATCAATAATGTAATAAAAAATATAGAACAATATTATTAAACAATGGGTTAAATTATAGGAATGTGGTTTGAACTTTTGTTGTGCAATCCATTCATTGGGTCTCACTTTAGCCTTAGATTAACATTTGTTAACTTATGGCCATCAGTTTGGTAAGAAAATGACTCAAGTCGGATTTTTTTTTTATAGGGGACGGAGAAATGTTTTGGTATGTAATGCATATTTTTTGTAATTTTATTATAAAATTATGTAAATTTTTATGAATTTATATAAATGATTTCACAAAAATACGTAAGTTGAATATAATAAGTTCGTAAAAATTTATGACTTTTGTAAATTTATGTTCAACTAATATATTTTTGTGATATCACTTACATAAAAGGTTTATTACACTTTATACCCTTAAACTATCACTAAATTGTCTATTTTAATTCCTAAATTATCGATTATGTCTTTTAAATCTCTAAAGTATATAAATTAAAGAGTAAAAAACACTTTACCCTCGTGTGATTTTGAGTGGTTACAAATAACATCTGATGTTTGAATATACGTAGATACCACCATTGTGGTTTGGACTAATGCAATAACATCTGTTAACTTTAGAGGTTAAAAGACTATTTTACCCTTGTGCAAAAAAAATAATATATATGTATATGTGGATAGTTACAGGCTTATATATACAATATATATACACACATGAATATGTAACTAATATATATGTATATACATAACTAAATTGATTTTGCAGAGAAATTGAAGTTGGATTATCAATCATCCATGGCATGGAGGAGGAATCTTATTTTTCAAAGCCTTCAGGCCAAGGATTTGCACGGCCTCGTGTAGGCAACCCATTTTTGATCGCCCTTAAGACTTGGGCGCTGCTGATGGTTTCTTTGGTGGTGAGAGTTGTGCAGTGCAAAGGTTTGATTTCTTCGGCAAGAGGAGAGTCAAATCCCAACCCCACACCCCATTTTGGACCAAAGCTATTTTGGATGGTTTTTAGATCTTAACCCTTTCTTTCAAAACATTTTTGAAATAAAGTTCCTACGATGTTCTGAGGCTCGCATTTCGTTAAATGTTACGCTTCAACCCATTTTTGATCGCCCTTAAGACTTGGGCGCTGCTGATGGTTTCTTTGGTGATGAGAGTTGTGCAGTGCAAAGGTTTGATTTCTTCGGCAAGAGGAGAGTCAAATCCCAACCCCACACCCCATTTTGGACCAAAGCTATTTTGGATGGTTTTTAGATCTTAACACTTTCTTTCAAAACATTTTTGAAATAAAGTTCCTACGATGTTCTGAGGCTCGCATTTCGTTAAATGTTACCCTTTTCGGTAAACCGAGCGAGGACAAAGTGGAAATGAATGAAAGAGAGATGAAATCTTTGAAAAATATTTCAAAACACCTTGTTCGGGGGTTTGGAGTTGAAGAAAAGAGGAGTGGAGAGAAGAAACTTAGTTGAGAAAGAAGTTGGGCATGAATCGTTAAGAGAGAGACGAGCAGCTCTTTCCAAATTGGACCTATCCTATTGTATACTTGGATTTAAGCTATGAGGCCACCGCCATTGGAAAGAAGACTTCTGGGGCTTCATTTTACACTCAAGAATCTCCTAAAGCCGAGTCCGGATGGGGAAGATATGGTTGGTTGAAGTTGGGCATCAATCCGGGAAGGATCGAAACTGAGCAGCTTCACCAAAACAAGCCTAACTTTTTTCAAAGTTAGAATTTTGATGCAAGTCTACCACCAGTGGAAAGTTTACTTCCGGGGCTTCAATTTGGAAACAAGAATGACCTGAAAAGGAGTCCATATGAATGAGTTATGCCCATTTGAAGTTAAACCTACAGAGCAAAATTTGCTATATGCCACAAATGTGTGCAGTCAGCCAAAAAAGTAACAGATCGGCCATCACAAGTAGCAGATTGGCACCAAATATGCCTGGTCGGCCAATAGTGACACAAATTCTGATTTTTTGAAGATCGTTTCCCTCCAGTTATTTCCAGCAATCTCCAGCTGTCCCAACTCAGATATTTTCGACCAAAGTTGATATTTTGCTATATATGAGAGCCTTATATCTCATTTTCAAAGGGTTAGAACTTCTTAAGCAAGTTTGAGAGCTTCTCTCACTAAACTCCCTCTCTCTCTACAATTTTTAGAGCTTAATCTCTGCCTCTCTCTCTAGAGCCTCTCTCTCTTGCTCTTTTGTGCATGAAAGTGCATAGAAGTAGAGAAATACTTCTAATTGGCCTAGGCATTTGTAGACGCGGCCGAACGTCCTGGGAAAATCCCATTTTGTTCATTAGGCTCACTACAGTTCAGACTCAAATGTCACGGTTTTGAATCTAATTTCGCAAAGTGCCATACAAGACTGATAAATCACCAAAGAGTCTAAATCTGGCAAATCGTTTTGAAAAATTGATTTTTTAGAAAGAAACGCCAAACATGGACTGCTTTGCCAGATATAGAGTCGCCACCTAAATGTTTTATTTTGGGAACTTAGGAAACCCTGACTCATGCCTAAGGCCACGTGTCCGTCATCACCAAAGTTGCCTCGGCTCGAGAACTTGGGTACGAGAGGGGAAGGTCATGCAATGAGCACTGCCGCTCGCCCGATCAAAGATCGGCCTTTACTAATATGATATCTTGTTTTTGAAAACACATGTGTTCTTATTCTGGTTATTTAACTTAGAATTACTATGTTATGCGCACAATAAACAAGTATGGACTAGATCACCTAAATTGGAACAAAGCATTACATATCCGTTTGTTTGAACATGGTTTGAGGTTTGTTACTCGCAAGTAGGCTAAATCGAAGATTTAAATGAATTGTCCCAATTCAAGCAATCCAACCTTTACCCATAGGCATTCAGGCAGTTAATCACATAAGCAGTTAGCCTCATGGCAAGCAGGTTTTTCTTGGCAATGTTAACACACATGCAGTATGCTAAAGCGTAAGCCCTCACAGTATACTCCGAGCCAAAACAGAGAACTAGTTAGAAATCATGCATGATCCTAGTTCATGTTAAGATGGCTAATGCAACACATGCGAAATGCAACTAAGATAGGCTCGGCTATTCTAAAATGGCATATGAAATACAACAGTTGATACATGTATTCAACTTGGTATTGAAATA